GATCTTGGTCTTCCTATGAAAAAGATAAATAAATTCAATAGATAACTATAGAAATTGCATAAAGTAAATTCGCTTTCGATAAACTAGTTTTTTAACTTTTAATTCGAACACTTGATTAGAAAGTAAACCAAAGATTTCGATCGCAAGAGAACAATGTTGCTTACCGTAGATAGCTTGATATCGGCCCAACGATAGCAAACCGGTATTGTGCACTCCTCTATCTGTTCAGGATGCATCCTTTCAGGCGAAATTCCCATCTCTTTGTTGTCTTGTATTACTTTTAAGGCTTTTCCATTACTTGCTACTTTTGATTTAGTTACAAACTCTTCGCTACCAAACGCCAACTGGCAGTAGTCAAAAGGCAACTCACGTGCCATTTCTTCCCCTGATTTCATCGTGGTTACCAGCTGTCCTTCGGTTCCTAGCATTTTCTCGATAAGAGTGACAAGATAATCGTTTAATGCCTTACTGTTCTCCGTCATTCCGGCTAATCGTGCTCTGGTTAAGCTGGCGGCTGTAGTTGTAATATCTGGTCTCTTCTCATCCACAGTCTGGTTGACTGCGGCCTTTGCTCGAGTCATTAACTCGGCAGGCAGAAGAAGGCAGGAAAGAAGACGCTTTTTGAAGCCCAAATTGCTCACTTTTGTAGTATAGGCGAGTCGTTGCCAAATTTGCTCAGCTTCAGCTATATTCCGACTACCCTCATGACTAGAACATATCGATTGTGTGGTATCTTGCTGTAACTTTTTTAAACGTTCTATGTCTTCTTTCGCTTCTTCATTGTGCAAATTCGTTTCCTTCACAATTTTATTCTCCAAGCTCATTACTCCCTTAGTATCATCAAACTCATTTAATCTCCTATATTTAACCGAGTCGTCTTGAAAACGAATGCTTTCTATGGCATCAGATAAATTCGAGCTATATTTTCCAGTTTCCACAAAGCGGCACTCCGACCAAACTGTTGCGTACCATGCCAGACGTTTACGGCATGATTCAATGCTGAGGCAATGCTCAGTTTCATTTAAGTGCTGAAGGCTCTGAATTTCTTGAATTTGGTCACCCCAAATTACCGCTCCTGGTTCTTTGCCTGCAGTTATTCCAGAGTAGCCTGACTGGATCAAGGCAATAGCGACAGTTTGGCTTGAAACCACTGTTTCTGAAATGGTAGCATCATTATCGCCTGGGGAGATAGTTGGGTTTGATAAGTTTAACGATCCTGTGGCCCCTAATGTGCACTCAGCAAAAGGCCAAAACACTCCAGAGCTGTCCTGGCACCTCAGTGTTCTTGCTCGTCTTCCTGGTCCACAGCTGTTGGAGCACTGTCAAATAGCATTTTTTTTAATAATAGTAGCATTTGGCATTTACTATGCTTTATCTAGACCAAAGTAAAATTGACATCTATGAGAATTTGTAATAATTTGCTTAAAAAAATTAATCTTCAATATTACTATGACTTAAATAACGTGGACTTTAATAAATTACTTCAACTAATTTGACCTTGATTTCGCAACTTGCCTCTAAGTAATTTTATGTACTGAGCAAACTGGCAAATCATTTTTACATGGCGAAGTAAGGAAATGTATAGAGAAAATGGTTAGTTAGCAAAGTAAAATGATCTTAAGCATTTGGTATCTTTGTACCAGGTAGAAACATATTATATATAAGATAAATGGAAAAATGACCCACAAAAAACGAGTCCTCCTGATGACTTTCAGCATATTTCTCATACCGATAGATTTACCAGACAATATTTGGGCACTGAACAAGATTGTAATAAAGATTTACTCGTAACTGGGTATGTTTTGGGATAACATTTTATTTAATGCGAAGAAATTAAACGAGTATTCGTTTCTAAACTATATCCCAAACTCCAAATGGCGTATAAGATATTTCGATTATAGATAGATATCATTAATTTTTTTCATCCATCTTCAAGAATACCCCTTATTCATTAGTTTCTGGCGTCATGCTACTCGTTA